GGGGGGGGCGTGGAGGGATTTTTTGGGTTTTTCTTTAGGGGTGTCTAGATCTAAATGCAAAATAGCTTAATTACTGCCGAAGGCGACCAGTCTTGTTTTCTCTCAGACCTTTTGAAGACATTAAATTTTCAAATGAAGTATAGTCCGGGAATTTTGCCCCAACCACAATTGAAGTATCTGAATATTCAGACGTCTAAAAATCTCTAGCTCTAGAAATTGAATTCGATGCAAAAAATGCTTCTGCCCAGTCCTCACAAAATGAAAGATGACACCGAACTCTCACAAATGATCAAAAAATCTCGACGCACCCGTTCGGAGAAATAGAGGTCAAGTTTATTTTCCCGAGCGTTCGGAAAAATAGTCACTTTGATGCTTAGATTTAATTTAGATCTAGATCTAGATCAACTGCAGCATTGTCACACAAAAGTAGAAGTAGAAGTAAGGTGCTTACTATTTAATAGGCTACTATCTGTTCAATCTGCAGTTTGCTTGTTTTGCTTAGGCCAATATATATATATAATAACTCGACTGTGAGAAAGAAGTGCCAAGTCGTCGGAAAAGTTCTAGTTTTCTAACTGACTGGAAAGGGTCCACTGTATGCTACCACCTTGTCCCGATGTTGTCTGTCTCATTTTCCAACCCACTGCTAATAAAAAGAGAAAAAAGTAAGACACTGCAGCTCATTCCCTCATACATCTTCTTGATCAATCTCACGAACTTGTCAGGTATTCCGTAGTGACACATGAGCTTCTGTGGAGTCTTTATCTAGGCTGTCAAAAGCTTTCTAGTAGTCAACAAAGCTAGCATACAAGGAAGAGTTCCACTCTGTGGACTGCTCCAATATTATCCTCAAAGTTACAATCTGATCTGTGCATGATCTCTTTTTAGGAAATCCTGCCTGCTCCTCTCTTAGTTTTACTTCCACGGCTTCCTTCAGTCTTTCCAGTATGGTATGACTTAAAATCTTTCCTGAAATAGACAGGAGCATGATTCCTCTGTAGTTCTTACACTCATGCTGGTCTCCTTTCTTGGGTAGTTTCACCCGCAATCCCTCTCTCCAATCCTGTGGAAATTCTTTGCTGTCCCATATCTTGCCAATGATTCCATGAAGAATCCCTGCCGCAGTGTCGAATTCTGCCTTTAGAACTTTCGTGGGAATTCCATCTGGGCCGGCCGCCTTGCCTGCTTTCTGGTGTCTTATCGCCTCCTTGATCTCTGAACTGGGCTTTTCTTCATTCACCCCAAGATCAATCTCTGCTGGTGAAATGTCAAACTTTTTTTTCTGGCTTTGGTCTGTTCAGTAGCTCTTTGAAATGTTCCTTCCAACGTTCTTTCTGTTCATCTGGATTTGTGAGAAGTTTTCCCCCTTTATCTTTAACTGGCACACATCTGCGTTCCTGTATCTGCCTGCAAGTCTCTTGGTGGTTTCATACAGTCCTCTCATATTCCCTGCCCCTGCTGCTTCCTCTGCCTCGCGTGCCTGGTCATCTACATAGTTTCTTTTGTCTTTCCATATGTTGACTTTTACATCCTTCATTGCTTTGGTGTATTCTTCTTGGGCCTTTGCTTTGGCTGCTCTTGTCTTGCTCCTGTTTACCTGATCCTTTTTCCTTTTCCCGTCCTCTATCTTCCTCAGAGTGGTGGCAAATATCCACGGCTTGTTCTCACATTTCCGTTTCCCCAGTACCTCTTGACACACAGTGGTCCAGCCTTCTTTTATTGCCTCCCATGTTTCGTCTGCACTGCTATCCTCGCCTAGTGTTTCCAACACTTGGAAACTGTTCTTAACCGCTAAATTAAACTCCTCTTTTGACGATGGCTCTCTCAGAAATTCCACGTTGTACCGGCACCTATGATTGACTATCCCTTGTCTTTACTTTAGTTTTAGTCGGATTGTTGAGATGAGCAGATGATGGTCAGAAGCTACGTCTGCACCCCTGTAAACTCCAACATCCCTTATTGATCTCCTGAATTTCTTGTTGACACATGTGTGGTCAATCTGGTTTTCAGTTTGTTGGTCTGGAGACACCCTTTTTGCTTTGTGTATCTGTTTATGTGGGAAAACAGTTCCTCCTATCATGAGCCCATTTGCTGCACATATCAAATAATTCTCCTTTCTCGTTTCTGACTCCAAGTTTGTGTTTCCTCATGATTTCCTCAAAGCCTACATTGTCGCTGCTAACTTTAGCTTTGAAGTCTCCCTTTACAATCAAGATGCCCTTCCTTCTCACCTGATCAATAGTATTTTGTAGCATTTTGTAGAAAGTCTCTTACACATCCTGGCCCTTATCATTGGTGGGGGCACATCCCTGGATAATATGAAGGTTGATGTCTTTCTTCTGTGGACAGAATTAAGCTGATATTTAATTGGTTGGACCCTCTGCTTTCCATCCTATCAAAACTCGCTTGGCCTGTGTTGATAACAGAATACCTACTCCTGTATGTGGCGAGTTTTCCTCCAGATGTCCAGAGTAGAGAATTGTTTCTCCTGAAGCTAGTTGGCACTCCCCTGCATTCGTCCATCTCGTCTCACAGAGACCCAATATGTCCAGTTGGTAGGCCTCCATCTCTCTTGCAACCTGCAGTGCCTTCCCTGCCTCGTACATTGTATGAACATTCCAGGTGCAAAGTCTTGTGGTTCTTCTGGTCGACAAGAGGTTTCTCGGCTTGGTGGCTTCCTTTCGGCTTTCACCACCCTGCGTCAGTCTACCCTCCATATTCTCTCCTCTTTTCGGTGATGAAGGTCCTCCATCTTCCAGAACTGGTGGTCGTGTTGTTTTTGCTGTTGATTTTTTTGTAGCTGCTTTTTTGTTTTATGGGAAAGGGCTGCTAACCCTTTGCCCAACCGACCTTAGTTGCCTTCTACGACATCCGCGGTACGGATACAGTGGTCCTATTCTTTTGCTCCCTTGTCTTTTGGACAGGGCCCCGAGAACCACACGAGTGACATGGGGTGCTATTAGCTGGAAATACTGTACAAGATCTAGATAAAGAAAACACATGGACCAAAAAACAAACTGTTCTTGCTAAAACTATGGTTTTGACGCAGAACTATAATTCATTAAATGTTCGAGACAAGCCAAATCATTCGAATTACTATTTCAGGCCCCACCCAGGAAAACAGTTCTGCTGTCAGGCCTGGTATATTTATGGTATCAATCATTCTCATAATAATCATCAACGCTGATTGTCAAGTTCAGAACATTTTTTGTTTGTGGTCAGGCGACCTAAAGAAAAAAGAAATTGTTGAGTTATTTTTCTCAGGATACATGTATTGTCTGGAACTGGTGGCTCATAGCTGGAAATCAAAGCCTTTATAATCGCTCATGTACGTATGATTGTAAGCCCTGAATATGCCAGATAATCATAATGCTGTGTGTAATGATTGTTTGCAAAGTTTTATCTTGTGGAATGTTTAGAAATTTTTTTTATTATGCTGGAGTTGGTTTTGCGACCAATGATTAGAAACTCAAATGTCCTTATTGTCCTCTAAGAAAGTTCCTTTCTTCAGTGTTTAGATTGATTTGTATTTTGTTATTACACTAATTTTTTTTTATATACTCAATAAACAAGTAGGCTCCATACTGCTATTTAATGTTTCTAAATCAGGTAATAATTATAGATCTATATTTTTCATCTTGCAGGCATACGGTCAAGTAGATACGGTTGTTGACTATTTCTGTGTTTGGTCACCTTGCTTCTGGTCTTTGCTTGAAGAAAAAACTGCCACTGTCACAGCATGAGTGCAGCATCAGATCCAGTCATTGTCAATAATTTTATTGATGGAGACTTCTGCGGCACAGATGAATACCTGGACAGCTTTGACCCTTCGACGGGTCAAGTCTGGGCGAAAGTGTCAAACAGTTCCGCCAAAGATGTTGACAAGGCAGTGGAGGCGGCTCAGAGGGCATTCCCAGAGTGAGTTGCAAGCTACATAGAGAGATTATTATTCTACGTGTCTGTACTGTAATGGCAGTTGGCCTATATTATATATTTTAATATTTATCTCTTTTCATGAATTGTTTAATGTCTGGTTTATTCTTATGTTTTATGTAAAATGTATGTGACAACCACAGCTCTCGGGGCCATGAAGTATCAAGGTTTTGTTTTTATGTTTAGGATCTTATGTAATACAGTTGTAGACTCAGTCTTGAAAATTTTCATTTTCTAGTGGTAATCCTTTTGATACTATGTATAGATCTATGAGTCTATTCACCATTTAAATTTATGCAGCTTGCAGAGTTTTGCAGGTACTGTATTTCTAAAACTGATTCGTGCTAAGTTACTGTTTTCATGAAGTAATTACTGTAATTTGCCTTCTCTGTTTTTTTAGCACTTGTCTTACTATCTACAATTTAATCAAATAATCAATGGAAGCAGAAAGAATTTTCCAAATTGTGGCCAGGCTGTTTTTTTCTTGCTGGAGCCTTGGACTCAATGATTGCCCCCCCCCCCCCCCCCCCCCCCCCTCCCCTTAAGTTGACCTACCCTGTTTAATGGTATGCAGATCTGGATAAAATAATACACAGGCCACATGAATACATGTACACACAAGTAACTCCGGACTCCAAGACTCAAGTGAACGAATGCGCACACTGGGACAAGTATGTGAAGGCCTAACACTAACATGTTACTTTTATATTATATCCTAGTTACATCAGGCAGCTAAAGAGAGACTGCTGTGTCATTAAGTGGGTTGGGGGGACAGATGACAGATTGCAAAAGGCAAACAGTTAGGCGAGGGCCTACGCTATCAAATGCGATGTCACGTCTCACTTGATGGCCACGTCAGTTTTTTACTTTAGGCCCTTGGCCTAGGCTATCATTTTATCAGATAACGGGGGAATGATGCGTTTTTGAAAGGATTGTTGTACATTGAATGGATCAGTAGTGAAAATATCAGAGCTGCGCACTTTCGAAGCGGGTTGTTGGAAGGCACCACTGGTAGGCTCTACTTCTTCACTTTCCCTTCCCGCTGTTGTTTCTGTCTGCCCGTCTTACTTTTGCCAGCACTAAATGGCCTTTATAGTGTCGATGTGCTTCTCTTTGCTAAAAAAACAACAACAACCAACCAACCAACCAACCAACCAACCAACCAAACAAACAAATCACTTACGGAAAAAACACACCAAAATCAGGCACTATTTATTAGAGTCACACTTTGTAAAACAATAGGCTAGCGATACAATTTGATTACTGAATTAATACCAATACATGTACCATCAATCAAGAGATTCAGGCTAATTAGATTCTATTAGGCCTATATTCTCCTCTGCATTTTGCTGGACCAGCAAATATCTATTTCATGTATATTATGGTTGCATTAGATTTTTCATTGTGTTGTCTTGTTACAACTCACGACGTATCTGAGTTGTAGCCATTTTCTAGTTTAGTTTTAGTAAGAGTTTTACGGCACTTGCAACGCAATAAGGTCATATAAGTGCCGAAGAATAGATGTGTTACAGGAGAGTAACCTACGCAAAAAAGAAGGCGGGGAGATAAGGACGACAGATATTTGATAGGAAAAAAGGAGCAAACCACACCAGAGCACCTGCCAAACACCCACAGCCATTTTTTGGCGCAATAATGGTTAT